CACTGCAGGTCAAAGTAGGGCCCCCTGCCAGTCACACTCTCAACTTGGTTTGCTGATTCCTGCTCTCAGAGCTTCTATGTCTCTCTCCCTGCTGTGCCCATTCAGATGCAGCAGCGGTGGCAGAAAATTCAAATTGTGGTTTCCAGAGTTGTGGGTTTCAGCTTCAGTGCTAAGATTTTATCTGTTCCTGTCTTAGCACTGGGATTGCATTTCCAATTGGTTTCTCTCAGCTTAGTTTGTTCCTGGGTCAGCAGGGTATATCTGCTCCTGCTTAGGACTCCCCACACTGCACCATTCCTGGATTCTAAGCTGGCTTTCTCAGAGAGCCTCTGTAGCTGTTGTTATCTATCTGCTGTGTTCTCCCCACTGCCAAGAATTGGTTCTTTGAAAAAATAAACAAAACTGATAAGCCCCTTATCAACTGATAGCCAACCTTATCAATAAAAGGAAAGAAAAAACTCAGATTCATGAAATGAGGAATGAAAAGGGTGAAATTGCTATAGATCCTATAAAAATTTAGAAGATCATCAATGCCTACTTTGAAAACCTTGTAACTCATGTAACCTTTGAAACTCATGTAAGATAGAAAACATAGAAGAAATGTACAGATTCCTAGAAGTGTATAAAAAATGAATCAAGAAGATAGAAAAAATTTTAATAACCCAATATCAGTTAATGAAATTGAAAACATAATTATAATCTTACCAACAAAGAAAGGCCCAAGTCCTGATGGATCCACAACTGAATTTTATAAGAAATTTAAAGAAGATTTTATGCTAATACCCCTCAAATTCTTTAATGACATTGGAAGAGAAGAAATTCTCCCTAACTCATTTCTGGAGACAACTATTACTTTGATACCAAAACTAGAGAAGTATTACTTTGATACCAAAACCAGAGAAAGACCCAACTAAAAAAGAACATTACAGGCCAATATCCCTAATGATACAAAACTCAATAAAATGCTGGCAAACAGGATGCAGCAAATCATCAGGAAGATTATACATCACAACCAACTGGGATTCATCCCAGAAATGCAGGGATGTTTCAACATATGCAAATTAATAAGTGCAATACACTGTATCAACAGAGCCAAAAGCAATAATCACATGATTGTCTCAATAGATGCAGAAAAATCTTTTTATAAAGTCCAATACCCATTCATAATAACAACTCTACAGAAGATCAGGATACATAGTCCTTACCTCTATTTGATAAAAGCCACCTATGACAAATCAACAACCAATGTCATACTAAATCAAATAAAACTGAATTCTTTTGGTAAAATCAGAAACAAAACATAGATGTCCACTATCACCACTCCTATTCAATACAGTTCTGGAAACATTAGTCAGAGGAATTAGATAAGAAAGAGAAATAAAAGGAGTAGGGATAGGAAAGGAAGAAGTTAAACTCTCATTATTTATAGATGACATGATATGTTATATAGAAGGCCCCAAAAATTCTACCAAAAGACTTGTAGAATTAAACAATTTCATAGGGCTGAGGATTTAGCTCAGTGGCATACGCGCCTGCCTTACAAGCACGCGATCATGAGTTCGATCCCTAGTACCGATAAAAAAAGAATTAAATAATTTCAGTAATATAGCTAGATACAAAGTCATTACTCAAAAAGCAATAGTATTCCTGTACACAAACAACAAGACCACTGAGAGAGGAATTAGGGAATTCACATCCTTAACAATAGCATACAAAAAAACTAAAATTCTGAGGAATCAATCTTAGAAAAGATATAAAAGATCTATACATAGAAAATGGAAGAATATCTCTTGCTCATGGATAGGAAGAACAAGCATTGTGAAAATGGCCATATTCCCAGACTAGTTATTAATGCAATCCCAATAAAAGCTTTTAGCATACCTAATAGATATAGAGAAAACATTGTAAGGTCCATTTGGAAATGGAAGAGACTTAGAATAGCAAATGCAATCCTGGGCACATGGACAAAGCAGGAGGCATCACAATTCCAGATATGAAATTATACTATAAAGCTACTGGGTAAAATCAGTATGGTACTGGAATAAAAAACCGACCTGAGGATCAATGAAATAGATTGAAGGATGCAGCCACAACTACAAACACAATCAGCACCCTCATCTTTGACAAAGGGACCAAACATGTTCACTGGAAAAAAGACAGCCTCTTTAATAAATGGTGCTGAAAAAACTGGTTTTCCACATGTCAAAAACTAAAAATAGACCTATGTCTATCACCATGCACCAAAGTAAAGTCAATTAGTAAAGTAAAGTGGATTAAATATTTAAATATTAAAACAGAAACACTAGGTCTTCTGCAAGAAAAGGTAGTTAGAAATCTTGAAGACATAGGGGTAGACAGAGTCCATGAACAAAATCTAAAGTGACAGGAAGTACTAGAAACAACTGGGATCTCATTTAAAAGTTTTTGAATATCAAAAGAAAAAAATCACCAACAGAGTGAAATGAAAACCTACAGAATGGGAAAAAATTTTAGTCCACTGTCCCTCAAACAAGGGACTTTTAATCTAAAACATATAAAGAAGTGAAAAAATCAGATTCCTCAAATTCAAAGACCCAATCCAAAAATTAGCATCTGAGATGAATATGCACTTCTTAGATGAAGAAATACTAGTGGCAAATAAATACATGAAAAAATGTTCAACATTACTTGTCCTTTGAGAAATGCAAATTATAAAGACACTGAGATTCCATCTCACCCCAGAAAGAATGGTTATCATCAAGAAACCAACCAATAACAAATGTTGGTGGGGTTGTGGGTGGAAAGGAACCCTTTTCCACTGTTTGTTGGAGTATAGACTGGTAAAACTACTGTGGAAAGCAGTGTGGAGATGCCTCAAAAAAACTAGGTTTGGAAGTCTGTGTTGACTCAGCTGTTCCCTTTTTGGGTGTTTTCCTAGAAGAAATAAAAACACCATATCACAGTGATATATGCACACTCATGTTTATAGCAGCACAATTTGTAATGGCTAAATCTTGAAAATAACCCAAATGCCCATGAATCACTGAATGGACAAAAAAGATGTGGTATTTTATATAACGGAATAGGAGTCAGCTATAAAAAGGGACAAACTAGCGGCTTTCATAGGTAAATGGATGTAACTTGTGATATTACTCATAAGTGAAATAAATCAGGCTTACATGTGTAAACATTATATTGTTTAACAATTATATATAACATTATATTGTTTACATTATATTATATAAACAATAACATTATATTGTTTACATTATATTGTAAAAAACTGAAAGAATAAATAAGACAGAAAATGTACAATAGATTTTGTGAAAGTGAAAGGGGAAGAAACTGCTCAAAAGGAAAGAACAACTGGGATGCAGAAAGGCAAAAAGAAAGAAGGAAAACAATTGTATATATATACCAGATATATAATTGTACCGCTGATCTGTTAGTTCATCAAAAGAACAGTGTTTGCTTTCATTGTTTGATCATTTTTTCATGTCTATATCTTGTAATCAATCTGAGCAACTATTTTGAAGATAACAATTTGCAACATAGTGACCTTTAATCTATTATATTGATCTGAAATTCTGTACCATTGTTTTTAGTCTTTTTTTGTTTGTTTGTTTTACAAAAAAATAAGTTAGAAATGTTTATGGTTCAAACCTTTAATTTTTGGTTGATTGATAGGCATGAATGAACCTTTTTTTGTTAATTTAATTTGAACTTAATATTTAGGTGAAAATGTACAAGTCTTAGGTTTACAGCTTGATGCTTTCCCATAGCAAGGTAATAGACATTTTCAATATTGAGAGATCAATTTTATGCCACTAGTCTTGCTGCTAGGTCCTCACAGGTAAACCATTACATAGATTTCTACTATTGTAAATTACCGTTGCCCGTTTTTGAGCTTTGTATAAAAAATTATCTTGTATGTACTATTTTTGTTGCTAAATGTTAGGTTTTTGAGATTCACTTATATTGTAACATAGAAATAACTTTGTTCTTTGTTATTTAGTATTTCATTTTGCAAATATACAAAATTTCAGTGTGTTGTTAATGAGCATTTGGTTGCTTCTAGTGTGATGCTTTAATAATAATGTACTAAGCGTGTTCTTATAACTCTCCATTGTGTACAATGGCATGCATTTCTATTAGAATTATACCTATGGGTTGACTTGCTGAGTCATAGGATGGTGCTATGTTCAGTTTTACTGGCAACATAATTTCTAAAATGGTTTTGCCAGTTTACATTTCCACAAAAGATGTATGAGTTTCTGTTGTTCTTTATCATAAATCTTTTTAATGGTAGCCATACTTGGGAGTGTGTAGAGATGTCTTATTTTATTTTCAACTTGTGTTTTCCTAATGACTAATGATGGTAGAACATTTTCTTGTTCATTGCTCATTTAGTAGAAATGTCCTTTGTAGAAAGCCAGTTCAATTTTTTTGCCTTTTCTTATTTAATTTATGAAAGATACTTATGTAGTATAAATGAGTTTTTTGTGTGGTTTAAGTATGTGAAATATTTTTCTTCACTTTTCATATTGCCTTTTCATTCTGTCAAATTATCTTTTGAGAACTAGAAGTTTTACATTTTATTAAGTTAAAATGTCAATCGTTCCTATAACAGTTACTGCATTTAATTTTAATTAATAGACTTGCAAAATAGTTTTAAGTTTGTAGAAAAAGCAAAGAGAAATAACAGAAATTCCTATATACTATCTCCTCTTCCAGTTTCTTAATCTATTAACATCGTAAGTTAGTATGGAAGATTTTATTTTTGTTAGGTTTGATTGATGAACAAGCATTGATACATTGTTTCTAAGTGAAGCCTATAATTTATGTTAGGATTTAATTTTTATATTTTATCCTTTTGGGGGGGGGCTTAACAAAGTGTTATATATCCATCACTACACTACCATGCAAAATAGTTTCACTGCTCTAAAAATTCCTCCTGCTCTGCATATTTCAGAATGTCATGTAGTTGGAATGATGTAACCTTTCCCCCCCTTTTTTTTAAACAGGAAAGAGTGCAAACACAGATTCCACTACCACAAATTATGCAGTCAAGTTTCCCATATTTGGGGAAATTTCAAGGGTCAGCACATCTGGGGTGCAAAGGATAAGCCTTGCCCTGGGAAAACCACCTTCGTGATTAAGGTATCTTCCCTGCCAGATAAGTATACATGTACTCTTTTAAAGCTTCCTTTTTTCCTTTGGTAATATGTATTTAGGTTTCTTCTATATTTGTTCATAGTTCATTTTTTCTACTTGTTCAATATTTTACTGTGGGAATGTTGAGATTGCTAGTTCATTCACCTATTGAAGAATGTATTGGTTACTCCCAAGTTTTGACATTGTGAATAAAGCTGTAGGTTTTTGTGTGAATATTAAATCTTTAACTCATTTGGGAAAAATATCTATGAGTATGATTGTTAGATTATATATAAGACACTGTTTAGTTGTAATAGCATTGTGACCATTTTCCAAGTAGTAGCACTATTTTGCACTCACACCAGGAATGAATGAGGGATCTAAGAGAGAAATACATAACGTTGACCTAATTCATACCATATAGAAGAAATCATTACAGATAGATTGAAAGATAAATCAATAAAACTTGTAGAAAATCACATAAAAGAATAACCTGTTCAAGATTTTTTACAAGAATGAAAAGACAAGCCTGACTAAGAGAACATATGAGGAGGAAGAAAAACAAAAGAGAAAAAAGCTCACTAGGAAAGTAAGCTAATTACAAATGGGCAATTGATCTAAACAGATCCCTTAAAAAAGAAGATAGAGATTGTTATTGTTTATATCTAAAGTGTACCCAAAATTTCATGTGCTCCCAGGTGGGGTTTTTGGAAGTGACTGGGTCATGAGTGTATAACTGGACTAGATAGTACTGGGTTTGTACAAGTGGATTTACTGGAGACAGAAGATCTACCCTGGGAGTGAGTGGCACCAACCAAAAAGCTTGCAGTTTGAATGCAATGAAAAGAGAGAGGGAGAGTTGATGCTGCTATATTTTCCTGCCTGCCCTCTCATGAACTGTTTCTTTTCCTTCATATCCCTCTGCCATCCTGTCCTGCCTTGGAGCCAACTGACTATGGGCTGAAACCTCTGCAAACTGTGAGATAAAGTAAACCTTTCCTCCTCTAATTTGTGAGTATTTGGTATTTTGTCCCAGCAACAAGAAAGTAACTAAGACAAGCGACAAATAAGCTCTGAAAATGTCTTATGCCATAAGAGAATTTCAAATTAAAGCAGGATGTCTTATGCCATAAGAGAATTTCAAATTAAAGCAGGACCCATCTATTAGAATGACTACATATGAGACAAGGACTACATCAAATGTGGACAAAGATGGAACTATTAATGTAGCATAAATTATTAAAAATACCATCCTTTCCTCATAGCATGATAGTATCATAAATGTTGAAAATCTGATAACAGTGTACATACGGTCAGTTTCTCAACTCTATTCTATCCTGTTGGGCTGGTTTTGTTTTGTTTTGTTTTTTAATACCAATGTTTCCTTTTTTTTTAGTTACTGTAGCTTTAAGATGCTAAACATTATTTGCAATTAGCTAAAATCCACAGTTCTTTTGAGTATTATTGAACCTTTGTATAGCTGTATAAAGATTTAAAACATGGGTTGAGGATGTAGCTCAAGGTTAGAGTACTTGCCTAGTGTGCTCAAGGGCCTGGGTTTGATCCCCAACATCACAAAAGAACAATAAAAGAGCTTGCAATTTTCACATACACTAACAAAAAACCTATTAAGAACTCAATTACGAATGCTTTGAATTTGTAGATTGTTTTCAAATATTTTAGTTTTAAAAACCCTTTATATTTTTAAAAGTTATTGACAATGTGAGTTTTATCTATCAGTATTTAACATAATGGAATTGAAAACTGGAAAATTTAAATGTGTTAATTCATTAAAAATAAAATAATTGCATGTTAATATATGTAAATAATATATTTTGTGAAAATAGCTATATTTTCTAAAACAAAATGTAATTTACAGATCCATTATCTAGCTTCGTAGAAGACGGTTGGATTCTCATACTGTTTCTGTATTCAGTGTGTTGTAGTATGTTTTGGTTGAAGTATATGAAAAAATATGGCTTCATATATAATTGAAACAGAATGTGCTTTGAGTCTTTTCAGAAAATTGTGAGTATTCTTTGATGATACCATGAAATACAAAAAGTGGTAGCTCTTTACATTGAGCTGTAATGTTTGATACTTTAAAAGATAGATTTCAATTAATTCCCTAGTGAAATTCTTTATCTTCTCATCTGTTTTTCTTCAAAATATTAATCACAGCTGTTTACATTGTTGGGATCATTTATGTTTCTATTTTTATTGTCTGGCATTTTTCCCCTCCTTGTTTTTGGCCCTGTTCCCTGATATATTTTATAAGTTTTTACTATTAGAAATGTAATCAATAATTGTGATTTTTGTGAAAGATGTCATCTTTTTCAGGGTAGATTTAATTTTTTCCTCAAAGATAGATACTGAACACACAGAGCATATTAATCTAGTTAAAGAATCTTATTGCTGGATTTTCCTTACTCCGAGCCTATAGATTTTTCAGTGGTGTAATTGAGATTCTGAAGTGTTTCCTAGGACCTTTTTGCCTTGGTGGTCCTTGAATTCCAATTTTTGTTTCCTTGGTACCTGGAAACCTGGAGATTGCCCGAAGCTCTGTATAACTTCTTAGTAACTGCTTTCTGCCATCTTACCCCATAAATACTCTGAGAAATCAGGCAAATTCATAGCAAGATTGTCTGCAGAGTGTTGGGCTTATTTACAATTCTTTTTTTCTTCTCTATTTAAATCCTTTTATTTTGAGCCTTCATTCGTCCCCCTATTCCTAGAGAGTATATTAAAAGAATAATATAATACTACCAAGTACAATTCATTGCAGAACACAAATACGCTTTAATATTAGGAAATTCTTTAATAAGATACATTAAAATGTTTTTAAAACCAGCAATTACTTGCATTTAGAAATGTTTTGTGCACTAAACTATAGAGGTTGATGATTATCTTCTTAAAAGGGTAAAAAACAAAACTAGTTATTGGCAAATGTTGCCTGTGGATCAGTTCCTTGTTTTCCTAAATGAAGGTTTAATGAAACATGGGAATTTACACATAATCTATGAGCGCATTCAGGCTACAGTAGCCCAGTTGAGTAGTTCAACAGAAGTTATATAACCCAAAGACTAAAATAGTTAGATTCTTTTTTTTTAGGCAAAAGTTTATCAACCATTTATTTATCCAGCCATAGTCAATCACCTCATCTTTAAAGGGGGAATAATATAATTTACTTCACTAGGTTGTTTTGGTAATTAATGAGATAATTTCATACATATGTGTACATTTTTATATTGTATATACATATTTTTACTATTAACAATGAAGCTCAACTAGAATGGCATATAATGGGTTTTTCATTTCCTTTTGTTCTGTTAAAAGTACTGCAAATAAGTGAGTTTGATGAAAAGTATGAATATAGCAATTAGGAGAAATGAGAAAAGTCATCTAAGGATTTTGTAAACATGAGCCTGTGCTCCTATAACAGGAGGGCCATCTAACATTGCACAGAAAGATAGTTTTCTTTAAATTGGATCAAGGAAAAGGAATTACCTAGACCAACATAATTTTTTTTTTTTGTCTTTTTCATTTTTTATCAGTACCAGGGATCGAACTCATGACTGCCTGCTAGCAAGGCAGGCGCTTATTCCGCTGAGCTAAATCCCCAACCCCTAGACCAACATAATTAAAGAAGCACCATTTTTAGTGTTGGACTCTGAATGGACCAAACCAATCAGGATAATCCCATGTCCCTGGTATCACAATTGGATCAAAGATATTGTGTTATCTGTGCCAGTTCCATCACTATCTGTACTTTTCCTGGTCAGAATGATTGGTCAGGGGTTTTAGACAGTGAAGATCATAGGGTATCAAAAGTCAGACAGTTTTCTCTCCTTGAAGTAAGGCAACATGTAGCCCAGTTTCTGCTGGCAGTCATCTTGTGACCAGGAGGGAAGTCAGCCTAAGGACAGAGCCATCAACTTGTCATAGGATGAAGTTGAATCATCAAATGAACAAATAAATAAAATAAAAGGGAGCCATAAGTCTGGACTTTTCAGTAATGAATTAATTCAAATCAGTAAAATCTTGCTTGTTTTTTTGAGACAAGGTTTCCCTACTTAGTTCAAGTTGAACTTGAACTTAGTATGTAGCCCACTCCTGGCTATTCTCTTGCCACAGTGCTGGGCTTATAGGTATATGCCAGTGTGTCTGGAAAAATCTTTTTAATTTGAAGCTGGCTGGAATGGAATTTTCTGTATTCTGGTAACAAAAATCACCTTAACTGATGAGGCAACCTAGGGACTATCCTAGAACTATCCAGGAAGCTGGTGAATTTATGAGTAAAGAGAAAGATTTGAGCTAGAGATACAGATACTTTGAGTTGGCGAATAGACAATAGTTGAAACGAGAAGTTACATGAAAAGAATTCAGATGTTGCAGCAAATATGTGAACTGTTCTGTAGGGAGAGCAAGGGCTATTGCAAGAAAGGCACTAATACAGGTTGGGTGTCCAGTAGGTGCCACAAGTTATAGAGCACTTTACCAACACTGAGGTGGCAATTGGAGTAATGCTGCTATTGACTCTATGAACTAGGCTATATTGTTAATATTTTATAGTCGAGGCTAAGAGCTATTAACTAAGCTGTCTATAAAGAGCAACCAATCTTCCTGAGCATATTATGTATATGTAGATAATTTATTTGCAGTTAATGTTACTGTCAAGCCTTAGCTAACTCTTATAAGGAGTTGATGCTACCATTTTCACCTACTCCTTTAAGGATCAAAACTAGGAGTAGTTTAGAGCCATGGGAGGTGAGATTTCAATCTGGCTTCAAATCTTTGCTCTACTTCTTTCTGTCTGCATAATGGGAAATTGATCTTTCTAAGATCTAGTTTTCTTATTGGTAAAGTGACAGTAAGAATACTTTGTAGGGCCATTTGCAGACTGAAGGGGAGGAAAGCAAGAAGTCAATGAGAAGCTAAGACCTCCTGTGAGTCGGTGCCATGTGCAGGCTGACTAAGGGAGAGCCAGCTGCCAGCCCTCTCCTGTAGTCTGCACCATTCATAGACTGCAG